AGAGAGAGAGAGAGAGAGAGAGAGAGAGAGAGAGAGAGAGAGAGAGAGAGAGAGAGAGAGAGAGAGAGAGAGAGAGAGAGATTTGTGACTTTGTTGATTTAACGACATTTGGATTCAGAGTCGACATTGGGACAGAGACATTGTGTGGGGACTATTTGGGGATTGATATCGACGACATTGTGTTGACAACATTCTCATCTCCTCCCTCCTCTTCGTCTGATCCCCCTCCTCCTCATCCGTGCATGATCTGAGCCTGGCGCATTCTTCCTGTGTGTGGCGCCAGGCCCCTTCGCACCTTGTGATGATGATGATGATGATGATGATGATGTATGTTCGGTCTGCATTGCGACATTGATAGGTCTGATCATTGGTATTTCAGTCTTCCGCTGTGCTATCCTGTTCTATGTGAGAGAGGTCAGTTCTTGGTTCTGGTCTGCACCATATAGGTATGCGACAGTTTCCCAGTCCATCAACGTTCCAGCTGTGGATTGTCAACCCTTCGGATTGCCAGTCTGTTGAGACTGACTCAGTCATTTATCGTTGCTGTCCATTGACTGATGCTGTTCCGGTTACTGGGTTTATATTCTGAATGTCTTTAGGTTGATTTTTTTATTTTTTATTTTTTATTTTTTATTTTTATTTTTTTGGGTCCGCCGTTGTGGTGTGGAGTTCTGTTGGGTGAGGCGTTGCGGTCTCTAATCGGTTGCTGCTGTCGTCCCTGTGCTGTCAGCTCCGGTTCCTCCGCCCACTTTCCAGAAGCGGATCCCAGGCTGTACCCCCCTGTGCTGCCCTCGGGTGCTGGGATGGTACCTAACCCATCGCTGCCTGGGGAGATCCTGTCGCTCAACACGTCGTCGCCGTCGTCATCCTCCATGCTCCCATCGTCGTCCTCCAGTTCCACATGTCCCCCTGGGATTGCTCTGTGGAGAGGATATAGAATCCGATAATAGAGGCCAGGGAATCAGCCATGACCCTGCCGGGCACATCCTGCTTGCACGTGTGCTGCACGGCAGGGCGGTCACTGTGTTCCATGCCCTCCACACCAGGCCCTCATGCAGTCTTGCTTTTTCTTCTAATTTTACGAGGGTTGGCTCAAAGGACTCATTGTCTTCTCTAGGGCAGGAGGGGATGTCGAATACTCCCAAGGGGAAGTCTTCGAAGATCACTTCCCTGATGGTTCTGGCCATAAAATGAAGTCTTTTACTTTCCTACATGATCAATAAATTTACTTTTTTGTAACTTTTTTGAGCCACAGACTCGCACAAAGGTGTGCGCCACCTCTCTCTCTCTCTCTCTCTCTCTCTCCCCCCCCCCCCCCCCCCCCCGCCCCCTCCCCTCTCCTCGAACACACACACACACACACATGCAAAGGTGCACACTCTCGTAAGCCACCCCTTCCTCATCCCCTCTTCCCCACTCCATCCCACTAATCTCTTTTTTTCCCGAAATGCCAAAGAAGACAAAAAGAATGTCATCTCTTGCAACAGCACCTCTGTCTCTCTGTCTGTATATAGATACATATTCAATCATTCAATGCACAAATTTTTTATTTAAAATGGTTTATTAAACTTTATTTATTTCCTACATGATCAATAAATTTACTTTTTTGTAACTTGAGCCTTCAAATGTCCAATAATTTGGTGATAAATGAATTTCTTATGTGTTATTTTAATTTCTAATTAAGAAACTTGTTTGAACTTTGAAGTTATTTCCAATATACAAAAAAATAGTACACTTTATGAACTCAGATATTATTTCTTATCAAGGACGAGATGACGAAGGCGAGTGGAGGAGGAAACAAAGGAGGGAGACGATAAGGAGGAAGAGGAGGAAGAGGAGACACAGGAGGATGGCGAAGAGGAGGAAGGGGAGACACAGGAGGACGATGAAGAGGAGGAAGAAGGGGAGACGGAAGGAGAAGAGGAGAAAGAGGAGGAGGAAGAATGCGATATGGAGGAGGATGAAGAGGGAGGAGGCAGGGTAGCCAAGAACGTACCTGGCAGCAGTGTTCCATGTGGAAGGGGTGGTGATGAAAGCCAAGCACTTGTTTCCAAAGTGCTGCCTTCGGGAACGAAGGATAGCCCCCGAGCCTCCTGCCCCCTCCCTTCCCTGGTCCCCCTCCTACCATGGACTGTTGCTTCAATCCTTATGTGGGCCACACAGATTCATGGCCGACATCTAGCAAATTTTCATTCGACTTTCTGCCCTTCTCGACGCCGCACATGCTTTGGGCCGTTCGGCCCTGCCCTACGAACCACCCCTGTGACAGTGCGGGGTCAATGGGCCTGCCGGAGGCCCGGTGCACTTTTGCACTTGGCCCACACCAGATGTTCAGATGGACGCCCGTCTGTGGCATTCATACTTATCTCCCAGACGTTCGAGCTGGCTGCCTAGCCACATTCACATTCCTTACCGCCAGTTCTGGGCGTTGGGCAGTCGCACTCTTTCACTGATTTTCTCTCCCTTCCCTTCTTCTTCTTACAATGAAGGAAGAATTCTTCCATGGCCGCGAACTGCAGTCAGCCTATACCACACCGTCACGTCTCACAACTAGTGCCGAGATCAGGAAAGAGAAGTAAGCCTTACACATAGTAAGCCAGAAATACATATCATTACTCCAAAAACTCCTGGAGCAATTATCTGAGGTCTCCATGACAAGACAACATGCAAACTGAGAAAATACAGACTTGATGTCTGTGAAGAACATAATCACCCTGCATTTGTGTCGATGACAACCAATCAGTTCGCTCATGGTGATGCGCTCATCCGGAAAACAATAATCATTTCACTGACTGATACAGCATTCATGAAGACTTTCCGTAAATGCATAGAAAAAGAACACAATCAATTCAGTTGAAAGTTCACATTTCGTGACAGGACAGACATCGACTTTTACCCATTGGATTTTCACGACGAGCACAGACATTGCATGAATTCACAAAGAGCGTGAAAAAAATCATTCACATTTTCCGAACCATTTTCTTTCTTTTTTCGAGTACAGAGCAACCAGTTCACCGACATATGCATTCATGCGTTATGTATCTTATATGAACCCCTTAGAAAATGACCTCGTAATTAATGATGGACTTGGAGAGACTGCACTACTCTTTCCATAATCTTCTGATCACCACAGGCTGCAGCAACTTCTGTCGTTGAGATTCACTCACCAATGGAGCCTGATGGCCTTGTAGACTTCAGAAGCGTTACAGAGGAGGCTCCACAGACTACTCTAGTGACATTTGACCACAGAAAAAAAAATCACCCATCACAGCAACGGTAGACTGAATGTCCTGACAACAAATATATCACTAGAAAAAAGAACTTGGCATTAAAGATGGGCTTGCAGAGACTGCACTACTCCTTACAGAATCTTCTGATCGCCATGAGCTGCAGCAACTCTTGTCATTGATTCTCCAATGGACCTGATGGCCTCATACATCCTTCATAAGCAGTTCACGAGGCTCCATTGGCCACAGAAGAAGATCACCCATCGCAGCAAACGTAGACTGAATGTCCTGACAAATATATATATATATCGTCACAAACAGAACTGCCCGGTAAACCGTGGGCAGAGAGAGAGAAGAGGACAACAAACGAGGGGCTGTGACAAACTGTTTCGTCGGAGTTTCACATATCACTTAAAAAAAAGAACAAGCACCCTCCAAATTAATGACGGGCTTGCAGAGACTGCACTACTCTTTACATAGTCTTCTGATCGCCACGGGCTGCAGCAACTCCTGTCGTTGAGATTCACTCTGATGGATCCTTCACAAGCATTCCACTGGGCAAATTCTCTTTCCTGAACTAAATCTGTCTTTTGTCTCCGTTTGCTGTGCCCATCTCTCTACAAGCCTGCCCCCCTTGCTATCATGTCGTATCAGATAAACCATCACCCACCCTCCGCAAATGAACCTGTACATATCCCCTCTCCCCCAACGTGGGACACACACACACACACACACACACACACACACACACACACACACACACACACACACACTCAGAGGCCAGACATCCACGTCTGTGCAGACGCACACACACACTCCGAGGCCACACATGAATTTTTGTGCAGACACACACGCACCATCTCTCTCTCTCTCTCTCTCTCTCTCTCTCTCTCTCTCTCTCTCTCTCTCTCTCTCTCTNTGACACACACATCTCTCTCTCTCTCTCTCTCTCTCTCTCTCTCTCTCTCTCTCTCTCTCTCTCTCTCTCACTCACACACACACACACACACAACACACACACACACACACACACACACACACACACACACACACACTCACACACACACACACAGTGTCCAACCTTTTACCAGATATCAGTTGCGCAGCCCTGGCCTAAGGAAGGATGTCCTAGTATGTTCTTGATGTTACTCTCCTCGCTTCCCTCCTAAGTGGAGACCGTTTCTTTCGATGTATTGTTGTTCACCTTGAAATCACCCAACTGCCTTCTCGGCCACACACTGCGGAACCATGAGCGCCGAAGACTGCATTAGGACCTGGCAAAGACCCTGTCCCAGATCCGCAAGAAATGGTCGAGGCTGACTGTGCTAAAGATTCTCCAGACAGCTGAACGCTTTGCCACAATGCCACCCCCATACTAAGCCGGGAAGCCATGAATATTGCTCTCCTCCTACCTGCAACTGACTGACGCTCCCGCGAGAGCTGCCAGCTTCTCTTGTACATTCCATCAACGAGCAACACTCGTCTAAGGGACACTCCTTGGGGGGAACGCCACAACAGCAACCGTTCCCCAAAGTGTGCTTGTAAAGCAACACCTTAAACATCATGATTTGCAGAAATAATTCAAATAAACCAAGTTTGAATGAAAAATCTGTGCCCAGGAGTTACAGAGATCATTGTGACACTGGCTGGCCGGATAAGCACTCAAGCCTGTAACACCACTATGCCAATTCATTGCCGCATTTTTCTCAGTACAGAGGGTGACGCACATTCCAATCCAAGTTTCCCCTCGAATGACTGAAAATCGTCCACCCATTCTTAAACCACTAGTACTTCCTAAAGTCGTGCCCATAAACAAGCCACAATTTTAGGAATCGTACGGGCCACCACAGGAGCGCCCAAATTCATCCAACTGAAAACGTTTTCTACTCCATTTTGTTCTGCGGCCGATAGCTGTGTTATGTGCTCGATTGATTCACAACTCAAAACCGCATTCAAATGTCTCCAGTCTGCCTGTCATCTTGCTCGATTGGTTCACATGGTGGTTTGAAGGGAGTCCTATCGTGTTGCTGCAGGTCACCTGGAATGGAAAAACCAACTACCTAGTGCGCAGTCAGTTCATTTAGATCTGCCTTCTGATCATTTTTCTGTCAGGCAGCAAGCACATTGAGATCTTCCGCGACCTGCTATTATGATTTCCATCCAGTTGATGACAACTGTTTGAATGCAAACAAAGTTAACAAATTAATGTCAGTAATAATGCGCGCCATTGCACAATCCTGACCTTTCCAAGGGAAATATCCTCACTGAACATAACTCGATGAGAAAGCGACTTCCTCAATCAATCCACGGCACTAAGCCATATACTTGTGATGCAGCTCTGGCACCTCCAACGGTGTCTCATCTAATATGGAAAAAAGCAGCAGCAGCAGCAGAAGCAGAAGCAGCTCAAAAGACGCAGCCGTCGATCTTCATGTAGAAACTATAATCCCCACGAAGGTCTTAGCGGCTAATGATGCGGTTCTCTGAGTGCATATCTCTCGCTGTATGCTACAGCGGTGTGACTACCATCCGTCTTCACCCGAATGAAACACCCGGTCATTCTCCCTGTATCTAGACTGAAAGTTGCCCCAAATATGGCTATAGTGACAGTGCTTTCTGTTCGGGTAGAGACGATAGCATGGCACAGCTGTACAGCCATAGGCCACACTATGGGAGAAGTTGGAGAACAAAATACTGTTAACTTTTCCTGTTGTAGACGAATCTTTGATCGTGCTTGGGATCATCTTCCCATGCTGGTAGGTCGGGGCGGGGCATTCCACCCAAACCCAACATCAGTAGTTGCAGGAGACATGTTCCCCACTCATTCTTTCATGCACTCATCCAATGCATTCAGGCCTGTGTTGTCCTGGCTGGAGTCTGCGTTGGAAATGGCAAAATGGCAATCGCTTTCCCTCTGCTCTCTTCTCTGTCCTTCTTCGCTGCATCTCCCATCTCCGTAACAGTCCCCTCCCACCCCCAATTTGATATCTACATTTTGCATCTATATGTATAGAATCAGAAAAACAAAGGGCAGTAAATTTTGAGTAAAGGTTTTGCTGTACTAACTACTACTAACTTACTAAGACGATAGAACAAATTTGGATGCCAAGAACATGACCAACAAATGAGAAAACTGCACAACGATTGAAGTTGCGCTCATCATTCATTCATGATGTGAATACTAATGGAAATTATATGTGTACTGTGTACAATGTACGGGGGGACTGCTGAGATGCAAGTCCCCACCTGAGTTTTCTGCTGGCATGTGCTCCACCACCATGACCATTACCGTTACCATTACCACTACCATCGTAAAAAAAGATTCAAAAACTAACTGTCGAGCACTAAGTGGATCTTCGTCGAGTGAATTCCGTCCAATCACACCTCTCACCCGGAATGGTCTTTGAGCAGTTCGGTAGTGTGTTGTCATATTCGCTATACACTCAAAAAAAGCATGACTGTGCCAGACTGTTTCGTCGCTTCGGTAGTGCGTGTGTAACCATGACATGGTCGATGTTCATCTTCATCTGACCTTTCCTGTGTCCTCACTGAGCTCGAGGTCGGGAAGTAGGCCTGGCAAGCTATTTCGGCCATGCCGGAATGTTCACCGCTTCAAAGCCATTTGCAGACAAAATGACTGCACATGAGCTCGAGATCGGGAAATTGACTGCAAATGAGCTCGAGATCGGGAAGTTGACTGGAAATGAGTTGATGATTGCGCTGGTCATTGAAAGTATACTGCCATGTTGTGATGGTATTGTACTCTTGGTTATAAAACTGCCAAATCAGAAAAAAGTAAGGGACCTTTGCACATGGGTGGAAGGTCGTCGAATTTCAATTCACTTCTCCAGGTCTCCTCTAATTTAGTCGTTTCGAATAGCAGTCAACAGTAAGCTAAGCTACCTTCGCGCATGGATGATAGTCCTCTGACAGACTGATGCATAGAACGAACAATCGGCACAAAGTTCACAAACCGTGTTGTCGGTCAAACACCTCTCCAGCTGTACATTTTTGCAGCCGATGTTATGTTAGCTCCGGCTTCACAGAAGCGGTTCTCTTGAAAACCAGTTTTACAGACGGCGTTCTCGTTGAAGTTTGAACTTTGAATTTTGAAATCAATATCGCAGAAGAGGTTCTCTTGAAATCAAAAAAGAAAGTCTGTCTCTTTAACATCACTGCCGCAGAAGAGGCTCTCCCGGAAATCACTTGTGGAACAGATCTATCCGAACATCACTGTTAACCACGATTCGCCGCTGCCTCTCCGATATCGGAAAATTCACAGGCAGCTAACGGGAGCTAAAGGAACTCCACAGCAGCGAGGAGTACAGAAATGCCTGCTGATAACGACCTGCAGCTCCAGTGGCCATATCACCGGCCAAAACTGCAAGGAATGAATGACAGGCATAAACACCACCAAGTACCCAAGGCTACGCCACCCTGGGATGTCCCTGGTTGGACCGACCAAAGCAGTGAACGGTTGTTGCAAGGTCTAACAAGCAGAGAGATGCACTGTTGTCACAAGATGTGAAAACTCACACAGGAGTTGACGTGTGCACGGTTTCGCTGGACGGTCGGAAGCACTGAATGCTTGCTGTAAAAAGTCGTGACAGAACCTGCTTCTGCTCGCCTAACACAACCACACTTGTGCATGTCCTACACAACCACACTTGTGCATGTCCTGGCCTTGCAGACCACCACCGCAACAACATTAGAGGGAAATAATGGAGGGAGTTTTACCTCTGTCCAGGGTTTCTCGCACCATTTGTCGAGTGACCAGGATGCTGCAAAGCACACACTAAGTTGCACCTTGCCTCAATACGAGTGAAACATCTCGTTTATGCATACACACTCGTTGAAATCCAGCCCTCCTATGGTAATGCTGCCAGAGCCAATGTTGTTGTGGCAATCTGGCAGGGATTCGCTTCTCCATATCTATGAAATGAGACGTTGAGAAGAATTCAACCAAGCTACAGCTGTTCCCGATGGATGAGTTGATGGTAGTGTGACTCCAAAATGCTGATCCATGTCTGCTGTTGGACATGGCTGTTCCTGCTTAAACGGCAGTAAAAAGACCAAGGGCATGTCCTTGCCCTTCATACTTACAACTCCGCATCATGTTTGCCCTTCTTTCCGAGTACGTTTTCCTCTCCCCATCCCCCCTTCCACACCCCCTTCTCCCTTTCCCCCTTCCCCCACCCCCTCCCTCTTCCAGCCACACTATTTGGATTATGAATTGGCAATGGGAAAACCCTCCCCACTTACGAATAGGCCACTGTGTGTGTTGGCGTGGCACAACTTCGATAGAAGTTCCTCTTTCTGTCGAAACTCCGCCGGTTCTGACAAATACATACACAAGGTGGCCGGCGCCTTGGATTCATCGCCCTCCATCAGCGATCTGCCAATAATTCGCTGAGGCATTTGACCCCAAATGTACACTTTACTTCCTCTGCGAGAGATGTGCCTGTCTCAGTTGCTTGTGACCTTTCCTTAATGTCGCTCAGACTTTACACGTCATCATCAAGGGAGATTTCCCAACAATATTAGTCAGGCAATTGGGCTTTTCTCATGGCATACTTATCCATTTGGAGGCCAGCCATTTCTCTCCAGCAATAACTTTTGCCCCACCTGCAAAATAACGAAAGCAACCGAAGGATGAAATTCAGACTTCAGTGCCCAGCAACAGCCCTCAGCATAAGAACAAATGTAAGCATCTCTGCAAAGCCACACAAACTGCTTTCCGCTGACATAACAGCTCCAAGCTATCCTCATAAGAGATCAGAAGAGAGGACAATCGTGGGCACGGAATGGACAAAACCTGGGATGGCATATGAAATGGCGGTTGACAGCGGAAATCGAAAGAGTTCTTTTCTTTTTTTTTTTTTTTTGTGTGTGTGTGTGTGGGGGCGAGGGCACTGCTCACAGAACCCACCCCAACCTACCTCATCGTTCGTCTTCCTTAGCGTAACCCCTGCTTCCCCATCTATGGGGGCACTGTTATGAACTTGGTTGTCTGACAATTTGTTTGCCACTCTCACTCAGAAGAACTCACACACGCCCATACATGCATGAGACAAAGGGGAGGAGGAGACAAGAGTCCAACTGCACACAGACCAGAGAGAAGCAGCGGAATAGCAATTATGCACAGAAGGGGAGAATACACAGTGTTTCTCTCTCCCTGACACACTCCCAACAACCAATCACAATATGACACTGCGAAGATCACAATCGGAATATAACACAGATGATGAGCCAGCTCAACTCAATTAACCCCAAATGTCGTTACAGAGTTTAACCCAGTGTCTCGCCACCTCAGTACCACCCACTCCACTCACTACTCCACTCACTACTCCACTCCCAGAGTCCAGCGCTGCACTGAAACAGCCTCCCAGAGGCCAGTGCCAAACACCCCGATGCAGATCATGAACAGCGAGGTAGTCCCCAGTGCCGATGAGTCACTCTGACGATGAAGAAGGCAGCCATGGCTGCCTGGCTGCTACCGCAGCAGTAGTACCCACATGTACCCGGTGAAGAGTCTCGATATAGCCCTGCCAACGCAGATATCCCCCAGGGGGTAGATGCGCTGAGCACAGCCCCAGCTATGGCTGTCTCAGGTAGGCCGGCTATGGCTGCCTCACGCGGCTGAGGTCTCAGGTGCCGCTGCAGACCTTCAGCGCTGCAAAACTTAGTTGGCCACGAAYGCTGCACGCRAAAAATGAAAAGCCAAAAGTCCCAAACCATTTTCCCTACCGGACTTTTAGACTTCCTACTCTAGCCTAGACCTAAACCGGACTGACTGGCCTGACCGGTACCATTGCTGTTTCGGCCTCTCGGCCTCTACCGTACCCGGCTATAGGCTATAGGACCGTATAGCAGTATAGGCCACTTAGGGCCTGTCTGT